ATTTTTCTCCAAATAAAAATAAAGATGCACATGGTACATGTGAGAAAGGAAATACTGGCCTTGCCTTAGTCGAACAGATTCAGAGTACAAATCTTTAATCATGGCGAATTTCATCATCTTCTAGTTAATCTGAACGACCATGGCACGTTTCAGAGTACAACCTTGTTCAATATTCAACAGTCTAATTAAATTTAAACATTTTCGCTTCTCACACTCCGAATCAATTTTAGTAATTGAAAAACAAATAATAGTCACACACAAACAACAAATTAACAACCGAATGCATCTACAAATGAAAAAATTCAAAATTACCATTTAATAGAGTCTTCCCACTCATAGAGCTACTCGTTTTTGGCCTGCATATATGAAAGGAAGGTGAATCATAGCCATTATAAATCAAAAAAATTATAGAGATATTTGTTGGTATTTTTTAAATTTGATTTGTTAAACAACAGATTAAATAATTTGGACACAATTTCTTTAACTATTTTGGTAAAGAAACAGAGAGAATTATTTTCTTTTCTTTTCTTCCAAATTCCTACAATGAAGGAGAGACATACTTGCACCTAAATTTTGCACTTCAACTTGAAGGTTATCAAATTATGTAAAGAGAGGAAATTCAAAAATCACAAAACTGTAAAAATGAATTCAAAATCACCATTTTTTTTGAAAAGTACAGGTTTAAATAAAGAATTCAAATGTTTCTAACACTTCAAAGGGTCCAAGCCATCTTGACCTTAACTTTCCAAGAAACAAATGTAATTTAGAGTTATATAACATCACCTTATCACCTATGTCAAAGTGTTTCCTAGTGAGTTTGGCATCATGAAAGGCCTTAGCTTTAACCCTTATAAATTACTGAGTTGTCATAAGCTTCAAGTCTTATTCCTTCTAACTCTGAAAGTTGCAATTTTCTCTCTTTTCCAACTGCATCAGTCTAAACTAACTTCCCTAACAGCCCAATAAGACCTATGATCAATTTCAACTGGTAAATGACAAGCTTTTCCAAAAACCAACCTATAAGGTGAAACACTAAAGGGTGGACTTGGTATTTAGGTGGAAACCTATTCTTGCTACGATTGTAAAGAGGAGAATTTGTTTTCTTCTCTCAAAGCATAGACCTCTGGTTGACATTAAACATGCTCTTTAAAAGATGTATGCATCACAAAAGCAAAACAGATATCACTTCTTATTTTTCTCCAAATAAAAATAAAGATGCACATGGTACATGTGAGAAAGGAAATACTGGCCTTGCCTTAGTCGAACAGATTCAGAGTACAAATCTTTAATCATGGCGAATTTCATCATCTTCTAGTTAATCTGAACGACCATGGCACGTTTCAGAGTACAACCTTGTTCAATATTCAACAGTCTAATTAAATTTAAACATTTTCGCTTCTCACACTCCGAATCAATTTTAGTAATTGAAAGACAAATAATAGTCACACACAAACAACAAATTAACAACCGAATGCATCTACAAATGAAAAAATTCAAAATTACCATTTAATAGAGTCTTCCCACTCATAGAGCTACTCGTTTTTGGCCTGCATATATGAAAGGAAGGTGAATCATAGCCATTATAAATCAAAAAATTATAGAGATATTTGTTGGTATTTTTTAAATTTGATTTGTTAAACAACAGATTAAATAATTTGAACACCATTTCTTTACCTATTTTGGTAAAGAAAAAGAGAGAATTATTTTCTTTTCTTTTCTTCCAAATTCCTACAATGAATGAGAGACATACTTGCACCTAAATGCACTTCAACTTGAAGGTTATCTAATTATGTAAAGAGAGGAAATTCAAAAATCACAAAACAGTAAAAATGAATTCAAGATCACCATTTTTTTTGAAAAGTACAGGTTTAAATAAAGAATTCAAGAGAAGGTGACATTACAGAGTAAGATGATTTGAGATCCTACCGCAAATATATAGAAATTAGAATAGAAAAAAAAATGGTGTGAAGAAGCTCTCTAAATTGGTGGATTTGCAGGGAACACTGAAGAGGAATTTGAGTTACAGAGGAACTGCTAAAGTCCTATATTCGTACGCTTTTTCTTAGAAGAGGTCGCAGACCATTATGTTGCAGGCAGTTGCCTTATTTCATATGCCCTTGTATCTTTTTCCTCCATGTCATAACCTCCTGCATCACAATTTTAGTCTCTGCAAAAGGGTGCTTTTCAAAGTTCCAACTGCTTTAAATAAATTTTCAAAAGAAAAAAAAAAACTCTAAGTATCTTACCCAAATACACTAAATAGACCAGCAGCACCAATTGATTAGAGCAAGAAGCAAAAGAGCAATACAACAGCCAAATAACAAGGAATGGACAAAACCTAACACGAGAAGGAAATAGTAACAAAACCTTGACAAAAAATGATTAACAAAATACGGGGTGTTGTTTGAAATTGTAAACCCTAACACATAGCTAGTGAATAAGAAAAAATAGAAAAGAAAAGAAAATACAATGATGGAGGAGAGAAAGCAATAGATCGCAGCCCCCAAATGGGTTATATCTCTGGTTGCTTGGCCTTCGTCTATTAACATTCAACATTTCAACAGCCACAGTCCAAATGGACAAACGAAGATCACGAACAGCAAAAAGTAGAAGGTGAAAAATCAAACCTCTCAATTGATCGAGGTACACAAATCTTATGGACACAAATCTGATGGAAGGAGAATCCGATCTGAGAAGGGAGGTATAAGCCCTAAGCGAAGAATGATGACCACGACAAAGACGACATCCGCACAAATGGCTTCTGAGGCGACAGAGGATGAAGACGGTGGCGGTGAAGGAAAGAGACGACATCGGCGGAGAAGGAAGACGACGACCGGGGCTGGTGTAATTGAAAGTGGAAATAAAAACGAGAAATGAGAGAGGTGAGTAAATAGAACGGGTGTTTCTCGCATGCCCAAGCAAATGAGAGAGGGTACCCTTCCATTAAATTACTGCCATGTGTATATATTATGGCTCCGTTTGACAGCAACGTTAGAGATTAGCGTTAGCGTTTTAAACGGTAGTTTTTAGCGTTTTCCGAATTAATCTACACTGTTAATATTTTATCCAAAACGATAACGCTAATTGAAAACGTTCTTCCCAAACAAAGCCTATATAAAAGACTCCACATCATTTTAAATTCTAAAAATTGCATTAACGCCCTTATTAGTTTTCTTCTTGTTAATTCTTCCCATCGGTTCTCCCACCTCATTTTGTTATCCCACTTCATTACGAAGTACTTATTAGGAGTCATTACTCTATTTAATGTTTATCATCATATTTTTTTCATTCTCTTAGGTTTGGTTTTGTTCAAATTATTTTTCTTATTCATTATTTATTTTTAGTAAAATCAAATTCTATCATAATATATCAGATGCACTCAAATCAAACGTAATTTGATCACGTCTTCAAATCAGATCAGACCATATCGTATCCTCTCTATTCAGATTAGGCTACATCTATTTAGAAAAATTTTGAAAAGTAATTTTATTATTCTATCTATAATTAAATAATGAGTACTATATGGTTAAATCATACTCCCTCTGTTCCTTAAAAGGTTCCTGTTTTGACTTTTAGCCAAAGTAAGGAAAATGTAATTTTGGTTGACTTTTTAATTTTGCCCCATATGTGATGGGTAAAAGTAAGATGTGATAGTTTGGTTATTAGTGAAAAAGTATGATGTGATAGGTAGGATATGAAAAAGTAGAGTTAAAAGTAGTTTTTTAATAGAAAATGGAAGTGTTTTAGGGAATTGTAAAAAAAATTGAACGAATTGGAATATATATATATATATATATATATATATATATACACACACATATATATATATATATATGTATATATATATATATATATATATATATATATATATGGTTCCCCCCTGTAGAGATGGTCACAGGGTTGATTGGCGAACCACACCACCCGGGTTCGATCCCCAGGAGATGCAAATTTGGAGGAATTTTAAAGAGTTAAGCGTGCTGGCATGGGAGTAGCAGAAATGATGGGTGACCCCCTGGGAAGTAGATTTGGGCTTATGGGGCTGGGCTTACTTTGGGCTTTCTATAGTGGGCTATCTATCTCGGGTGTTAACGGGCCCCGGGGTAGTCACGAGGTTAACGGGCCTCGGGCCCCCTGCTTGTAACCGACCGTTAATTATATTAAAAAAATTTAAAAATAAAAAAAAAATAAAAAAAATAAAAAAAATAAAAAAAATAAAAAAAAAAATATATAGGGATTGACTCTAGTCAGATGACATCTTTCGGTCAGATGACACTTTCGGTCAGATGACATGCTTCAGAATGAGCACCACCTTATTTGAGAATGAGCACCACCTTATTTCAGAATGAACACTACACTGAGCAGACTGTGAATGAGTACTAGGTTGTTTCAGAATGAGTACTACGTTTATAATGAACAAATGTGTGAAAGTCAACCCTACGGTGTCTTAGAATGAACACTACGTGGATTCAAAATGAACCCTATGTTGTCGTCTCGCTGGCTATGAATGAACACTACATACATTGTGATTAACAGTGGGCTTTCTATAGTGGGCTATCTATCTCGGGTGTTAACAGGCCCCGGGGTAGTCACGAGGTTAACGGGCCTCGGGCCCGCTGCTTGTAACCGACCGTTAATTATATTAAAAAAATTTAAAAATAAAAAAAAATAAAAAAAAATATATAGGGATTGACTCTAGTCAGATGACATCTTTCGGTCAGATGACACTTTCGGTCAGATGACATGCTTCAGAATGAGCACCACCTTATTTGAGAATGAGCACCACCTTATTTCAGAATGAACACTACACTAAGCAGACTGTGAATGAGTACTAGGTTGTTTCAGAATGAGTACTACGTTTATAATGAACAAATGTGTGAAAGTCAACCCTACGGTGTCTTAGAATGAACACTACGTGGATTCAAAATGAACCCTATGTTGTCGTCTCGCTGGCTATGAATGAACACTACATACATTGTGATTAACAATTGTGTGAGAATGAATCCTACGTTGTTTAAGAATGAGCGCTACATTGATTCAGAATGAGCATTCGTTGTCATCTGACCGAAAGTGTCATCTGACTGGAGTCAATCCCATATATATATATATATATATATATATATATATATAATGGCGTTTAGGGATTTTAGAGAGAGAGGGGTTAGCGGTGGTCCTTTCCGGCAACAGGTCAGGGATTTTGGCCGATCTAGATACTATGGCGAGCCACTCCAATCGCGTCCAGCGAGTCTCCAGTATAATAGGGTTTCGCAGAAATCTGTGAGACGAAGCTACTGGAGGCGCCGGAACTCGGGTCCAAATGTTTGCGCAGATGGTCTGGTTACACTATCGATAGAGAGCAAAGACTTTGAACTTTTAGCGGAAGTGCAATGTATCAGAATTTCAGAATCCAAATCAGGTAAATCACGTTCCTTAACAATCTCTTGGGATATTGCACACTGGTTGATCGATACTATTACGAGGCACGATTTCTCAAAAGAAAATTGTGAAATATCTAGATACGATGGAGATTTCTCTGTCAAAGTTTCTTGGGATTCAAATCGTTTTGGACATTTTGCACGCCTAGTGTCAAAATCAGGGTCTTCGTATAATCAGATTATCATCCTTACTTGTTTTTACTTAGAGGGGCTAAAACTTTTCAGTAAGGGTCTATCTCAATTAATGAGGAACTCGAATGGATTATGTAATCTCCTGCCTCAGCCACTGCCAATTCAAGAAGGTCTTGGGTCGGGTAAAGTTTGCAAGGATGAGGGGTGGAGATGTTATCAGGGAGTTTCTTCAGATGCTAAACATGTTGAAGAACAGATTAACCTTGGAAGTAGGCTAATTGTTGACCTCACTATGGAGAAAGAGATGGAAAGTTTGCAAAGGCCCAAACCATTGGCAGAGGTTCCTTTAGATCAGGGCTGTCTAAATCTATTTCATCAAGTTATCAAGGATAACATTAACCTCTTCAGGAAATCTAATGCTAGCAAACAGTTTTTGGATGCTCTCAATAAAGGACAGATCCTACTCAGAGGAAGTCGTTAGGGTTACAAGAGAGGCAATCAAAAGCTTCGAGTATATTGATGCAGCAACAATGGAAGGTGCAAGATATCCTGTGTACCTAGCTTATGCGAAAGAGGATATGAATGTCATTCTAGCACATTTATGCGGAGAACAGGATTGATTAGGATTTCACTCTGGGACGGGTCATTTTCAGTCTCATGGTCCTTCGGTTATGTTGTTTTGGTCCTTCAAAGGGAATTGACCCAAGGGTCTTGAGAACCTGGGCAATAGTTTATGTTTGATTCATTATTTTTCTTGCTGTATTTGGGTTTCGAGCTTCATCAGCAGGTGGTTGATTGGTGATTGAAAGCTTTAAGCTATTGTTTAGTGTGCACTCACGATTAGTGGATCTTTTTTAGCTTAGAGACTGTGATCTTCAGGACGATGAAGGAGCCATGTATCTCTTGGGTCCTAGCTAGCAATTTGCAGTAGTTCACTTTTAAGCACTAATCAAGCTATTTTGGGTTGCTGCAATCAAGGACAAAAGTTTTATATTTAAAAAAGTTTAAAAAAATATAAATGACATGACTATATTATTTTATCAAATGAGTAATGAAAATAAAAAGTAGAATGTTAAAATTTTAGAATATNAAGATGATGAAATTCGCCATGATTAAAGATTTGTACTCTGAATCTGTTCGACTAAGGCAAGGCCAGTATTTCCTTTCTCACATGTACCATGTGCATCTTTATTTTTATTTGGAGAAAAATAAGAAGTGATATCTGTTTTGCTTTTGTGATGCATACATCTTTTAAAGAGCATGTTTAATGTCAACCAGAGGTCTATGCTTTGAGAGAAGAAAACAAATTCTCCTCTTTACAATCGTAGCAAGAATAGGTTTCCACCTAAATACCAAGTCCACCCTTTAGTGTTTCACCTTATAGGTTGGTTTTTGGAAAAGCTTGTCATTTACCAGTTGAAATTGATCATAGGTCTTATTGGGCTGTTAGGGAAGTTAGTTTAGACTGATGCAGTTGGAAAAGAGAGAAAATTGCAACTTTCAGAGTTAGAAGGAATAAGACTTGAAGCTTATGACAACTCAGTAATTTATAAGGGTTAAAGCTAAGGCCTTTCATGATGCCAAACTCACTAGGAAACACTTTGACATAGGTGATAAGGTGATGTTATATAACTCTAAATTACATTTGTTTCTTGGAAAGTTAAGGTCAAGATGGCTTGGACCCTTTGAAGTGTTAGAAACATTTGAATTCTTTATTTAAACCTGTACTTTTCAAAAAAAATGGTGATTTTGAATTCATTTTTACAGTTTTGTGATTTTTGAATTTCCTCTCTTTACATAATTTGATAACCTTCAAGTTGAAGTGCAAAATTTAGGTGCAAGTATGTCTCTCCTTCATTGTAGGAATTTGGAAGAAAAGAAAAGAAAATAATTCTCTCTGTTTCTTTACCAAAATAGTTAAAGAAATTGTGTCCAAATTATTTAATCTGTTGTTTAACAAATCAAATTTAAAAAATACCAACAAATATCTCTATAATTTTTTTGATTTATAATGGCTATGATTCACCTTCCTTTCATATATGCAGGCCAAAAACGAGTAGCTCTATGAGTGGGAAGACTCTATTAAATGGTAATTTTGAATTTTTTCATTTGTAGATGCATTCGGTTGTTAATTTGTTGTTTGTGTGTGACTATTATTTGTTTTTCAATTACTAAAATTGATTCGGAGTGTGAGAAGCGAAAATGTTTAAATTTAATTAGACTGTTGAATATTGAACAAGGTTGTACTCTGAAACGTGCCATGGTCGTTCAGATTAACTAGAAGATGATGAAATTCGCCATGATTAAAGATTTGTACTCTGAATCTGTTCGACTAAGGCAAGGCCAGTATTTCCTTTCTCACATGTACCATGTGCATCTTTATTTTTATTTGGAGAAAAATAAGAAGTGATATCTGTTTTGCTTTTGTGATGC